AAGTAGGGAGTATTTTTTTGCTATACTGAAAGAAAAAATTACTGCTATTATATTATATTACTAAAAAATTTAAAGTTATTTTACATTTTATACTATTTATTTATATTTCCAAACTATTAACTGTTAATTAGTTACACATTAATAACTTTTCTTTCCTTTCATAGATAATATAATTGAACAATTTTAACACATTTTAAACTTGGGCGACTTAAGTCACCCCAAAAATATATATAAATATATATAAAACTCAATGTATGTATGAATTTAAATTAATTGAAATTGTAATTGCTTAATGGCAACTGTCATCGTTTTGCCATTAAGAACAGTAAGAAAACTAATTTCATGAAAAGCAATAAATTCGGATTTAAAAATCTGTTGTTAGAACATTGACAGGAACTTATTTGAAAGATTTTATGCTTAAATTTATCAGTAAGTGAAATGTCAGTGACAATGACAACAACAACTTTAATCTCTAACCACTCGCACGACACACAGCTATCCTTCCAAATAAGTCAACAATATTCGAGCAATTTGAGCAAAACAATTTCTGCTTAATTTAAGCATCAATTTACTGAATTTGTGTCAATTTTTGATTTCATTGAGAGCCGAACTCATTTTTTCGCACACAAATGTTTATTTACAAGCTCTGCACCCTTAAGTGTGGCTAAGGACTGCGGCTCTGACTGGCAACTGTGACTGCGACTTCGATTCCGACTCCGATTCCGACTCTGATTCCGACTGTGATTCCGACTGTGATTGCGACTATGATTGCGTTTGTGAATGCGATTGAGATAGCGTTTGCGATTGCAGGGGCATGGCAATCTAATACTCACAATGGCACACCCAGCAAACTGATATGATATGATAACCTAGTGACAGTTATTTACATAATAAACCCATACAAACAAGCTTTGACATTTGTAAATCAATTGATTTCGATACGAATTTATTTCTATATCGTGTCGTGTGTCACCGCGTATGTCAAGGGTATGCCGGAATGAGCCACCCCCGCCAGCCACGCCACAATGCGTTTCAGGCATACGATAATTTGTGTTTGCCCCCAACCACAAGGGTTGTATAAAATTAATATTTTAATTTTGTACATGCGTTCAAGTGAGTTAAGTCAAAAATAAACTCTGCTGCACTCGCAGAAAACCCAGAAAACGCAGAAAACGCAGAAAATAAAAATCAAAATCTATTGAAAATGCGGTATTTTCCCTTTTTATTTTGACTTCGACTAATGCTGAAGTCAGGGTGATGGTGAGGGTGAAATTACTCGCTCTACGCATACTAATCTCAGTTACTGAAACTTGCTAGTCTGTTCCTATATGAACTTCCTGGCGGTGTGTTTTTCAACGCACATGCTAGGAGGAAGCTAATGCATACCCACTCAATTGAACTTTATTGTGTTTTAGTCCTGTGATGAGGTTTCTGTACTTTATTGATTTTTGGCTTTCTCTTGAATTTTAGATTAGCGTCGAATTCAGTTCGGCACATTTTGTTACTACAATGAGTTAGTCTATTTTCCGCAATTTTACCAAAGTCATTCCTATGTTTTCGGGAAATTTTATGGAGCAGCGTAAGCCACGGAACTGAAAAAATATGAAATATTCACACTGTCTGCGAGCTGTCTTGCAACTGATTGACAAATTTGAGGAATACATATACTTCTATGCATAAAACATATTTGTTTTTGTTTTATGTGAGCTCATAACTTTCAGTAAGTCTTACATAGCATTTAGATAAAGTTACCAAAAAATATGTCTGCTCTCATTTAAGCAGTAAAATATCTAGGGAAAATTTCGTATAACATAAAATACTGATGGTAAATAATTTAAACTATGTTCAGACAGCCAAATTTTCTTAATTTCGTAAAAATAAAATTAAGTTAATTTCGAAAGTGTACATACTGCCCCAAATTAAGGAAGTCATATATTTTTTTTTTACAAATCGAATGTTAAAAATTACATGCTCAAAACACCATTTGTATCTGGAAATAGTTTTATTTTATATCGTTTTATTAGCTTTAGTGTATTTCAGATAGGTGAATTACTATTTTTTACTCTTTTTTAAATAAATAACAGTTACAGTTTATTCTCTATATTCAAATTTAAAATTTGGAGTACTTCGAAAATATTTTCCCTGTTTTATTAAAGTCAATTGTCACAGATATTTATTTAAAAAAAATGTTATCCTTTGCTTAAAATTTATCTTACGCAGAGTTGCATTTGAAATGTCCCTAAATTTAAGCCTTTCGGTTTTACATTAAAACTGAATTTTGTATGGAAAAAACAACTTAATTTCGCTGAAACGAAGATGAAATTAAGATTTTTGCGAAACTTAGGGGTTTCTGAACTGAACTGATATATACATTTCAGAAGTGGGTTTATTGCAGTCGTAGCAAATAAATAAGTACATTTAAGAAATAAAACAAAAATTGATACTAAAATTTTTATAACAGATTTAAGTTCATATACTCTTAATAGTTTGCGAAAGAAAAGATGAAAAAAGTCGATTCATTTTTTTTAAATTAACTCTAATTTTCATTAATCTCCCTGCAATTCAATACACTTATTTCAATAGTCCCTCAATCTTCAGATTTCATCTCTGTTCTAGTTTGATGAAAACCATTTTTAACAGAACAGTTTAATGAGATGTTAGAGAAACTCAAAGCCACAGATAGCTTAATATGGCTAATATAGATTTGTATTATATTTTGAGAGCTCAAAGATTACCTATTCCTGATCCTGCATCCACTAATGTATTATTCAATTGATTTTTAACGTCAGTTATGACAATACAACTATTTATGTTACTCAATATAAACTATTGTTTTCGATTGAGAGGCTTTCGAACAGTAGTAAATTGCAACAACAAATTTTATGGTATTAAGTGTAATTGTGAGTTCACTTACTTTTTAAAATGTTTTAGAATAAAATAAATAAATAAAATAAAATAATAATTTGTATATGAGTTTTTATTTTTATATAGTTTTCTATATAAATTCGCCAACATTTTAGCCTGGCTGCTATTTCGATTCAGAAAAACTATATTATTCATTTGCCTGCAAGTCATTACAGTAAATACCCGCATCTATACCTCGTTCTGTCTCTAAATTCAGTACAACCTTACATAGAAATCCATTCCGAGCTTAATTGGAATTTCAGTTTCAAGTTCCCGGGTTGATGTTTTATAATATATAGCTCACCCCTAATTAACATTAATTAAACTATCAACCCTTTTATTGATTTCATTGAGAAAATTTTTGACATTACCGACTTGAATGAACACTTGAGTAAAGCATAATATTTAGAGTTTACTGGTTATAGGTAGTGCACTATAACCCCTACGGAATCCAGCCTAGCCAATCTCTGAACTTTTTTAATGTCATGATGCAAAGTTAATTTTTCCTTTTAATTAATTAGGTCTTCCATAAAAAATCAAGTTTCATGTATAAAATCAATTAAGATTAAAGATATATTAATGTATATTTCCTATTTGAATTTTGAAGAATTTAGGACGAGTGTGAGTTGGGCTACGTTGCGTTCTTAATGAGGGAAATTCTAAGTTGTGCCGATAATGTAGTGATGTGTCGATACGTGTTGATAAATGGCTAAATGTGTGCAGTGCGAAAAATCCCAAAATATCTCCCATTTGGTTTAGTATCAACTTAGCCTAACTCGCACACGTTCTTAAAACTATGCACATTGATTGGAAGTATAAAGTACACATAACAAATATCAAATACTTCTTTTAAAATTAATTGCTACTAGTTTCCAAATATAAGTGTTAACTTATAATAAAAATAATAAATTAATTTATAAATGATAATCAGTCAATCAATCAATCCAGTACGTTCCCATGGGAACATTGGGCCATAACGAACTTTTTCCAACTGCCACGATTTTTTGCCAGGGTTTTCATTTCTCCAAAGGTTTTTCCGCTTGCTTGGATTTCTTTCTCCAGTGTGCGCTTCCACGTTTGCTTGGGCCTACCAGGTCTTCTGCTTCCTTGAGGATTCCATGTTAATGCTTGTTTGCAGATTTCATTTGGTGCCTTCCTTAAAGTGTGCCCGATCCATTGCCATTTACGCTTTTTGATTTCATTTGCTATAGGAAGTTGGCGGCATCTTGACCATAGTTCGGAATTTCTAATAGTGCGGGGCCACCAAATTTTCAGAATTCTCCTAAGGCATTTGTTTATAAAAGTTTGCAGTTCAGGTTGTTGGTGGTAAGCCAGGTTTCGCAGCCGTAGAGCAGAACGCTCTTAACATTACTGTTAAATGATAATACCATATTTAAATTACGAACGACCTTTGCTGAGGCTAATTCGCAACGCCAAACTTTTGCATTATCGTTTCGGGTCCTGAATTTAATAATTATTGTTTTTACCCAATATATTGAAGAGCAATCAACCGAAAACGTTATTTTGAAAACCTGGGTTGTTATTTATAAAAAAATATTAATATTAATTTATTACTCTTTAAAAAATAAGATAAGCTGAATACTTTGACTCTCCTTGAGAGTTATCATCAGCATCGCGATCTACAAAGATATTTACAACAATTTACAATAGTTTAGCTGTTATTTTTATGATAATTATCTTTATATTATAGATGGGGATCCTGATGATGACTCTCAAGAAGAATCGAAATATAGAATATAAGACAAAATATTAAACGTTAAATAATTTAATAAAAAGTGACCTATAGCCGGATTAAAAAATATATAACAAATGAATAAATTCCAAAAATTTCAAAATCTTATAATAATTGTTACCAGTACTTAGGAAATTATACACCTTTCCTTAAAATCAGAAAGAGTAATAATTAGATTATTAACAGTTAATAAAATAGGCTGTTTTGCTTACTACCATTTTTTCCCAAAAACGTATTGAAATTGTAGTAGTGTGGCCCTAATAGTAGCATTAAATTATAAATGACATTTAGTTGACAAAAATTAACTGTCAAAGTTTCTCTACTAATCAAAAAAAAAAAAAAAGCAGTTGACATTATTAAAATATTCACATAGACAAGGAAGTATTTAGGTAATCACTTATTATATTGGATAACTATACTGGCAATAATACCAATAATTGTTGAGTATATCAGTTTTTAAATTCTATATATTATCCAAATACAGTTAATTCTTATTTCGCAGTAATTATGTCAATTGATTCACAAATGTCAGTTGATTATCAGGAGGATGTCATCCTGAAGGCAGAAATCGAGAAGTTTGTTAATATATGCTTGGAGCGCAATGGTCCCCTGATCGACACATTTGATGGTAATATAAAATCAATTAACAATAAAATTTCATTAACTAATTATAAACAACAAGATGCTGTTGAACCCGTGGCGCCCAAAGTTAAAAGAATTTCAATGGCGGGGGATGATCACAATGTCTTAGCAGTCAATGATGAGGTCATTGAGTTAGTGGAAATTTTGTCTGGAATTAGCTTAAACCAAAGTGCGCAGTCAGCTAAACAGCAGTCAAGCTCATCAGTAACTAAAAGCCGGCCACATAGACTTATTTTGACAGATCCTTCCTCATCCTCAATGGAGTGTGATTAACGAATTAAGAAGGACATGCAACTGTTATTAAGTGTGGGAAATTCAATTGATATGCAATATTTTTAGTAAAGATTATTGTTATTTTCCGTAAATAAACCACGCTTTATGCTTTAAGTTCTATGTTAAAAAGTGATTATTATTATACGTATTATATGAAAGCAGAATAATCATCTTCTAGTGAATCATAAAGGCACTAAGTCAATAACTGTTTTTTTGTTGAATTTCAATCAATCTTAAATTAAAAACAAAAAACCTAAATACACATTTCTTAAGCTTTTAGCATCTAGATTCAGGTACCAATTAAAAATGTGTTTTTCCTATTTGCTTAAATCAGCATATTGGAAGATCTTCTTGATTTTACTGCAGTATTACAACATGACTATGTCTGTTATGTATAATGGCTATAAACATCCGGCGGTGAGATTATAGCACAATTTTTAGATGATATTGAAGAGTTCTCGTATATATATATAATATCAATGCAGTATACTTAGTATTATATGTGATCTCGTGTATATTTAAAATATATTGACAAATAAATAATTAATTTTAATAATTAATTTTATAAATAATATTAACATCATATTTTTTTATTAACAATATGTCTTTATTGAACCGCTTTTATTTAAAGCCTAACAACAAGTTTTAGAATCTTAAAAACTAAAACCATAGCATTACAAATTATTCTATATATACATACTACAATGAGAAATAAAAATTTATTTCTAAATTATTATTTTGGATCTGACTTTGTATAGGTAGCCAGGGCTTATTTACCAGATATCACGGCTGGTGAATAAAACAGTATCATCTTTGGTAAAGCAGGATCTGCTTTTACAAGCCCTCAACCTTTTTGTGGATTAAACTGGGCCAGTATAAACCAAATAACCAAGAAAAGGGAAAATCATATGCGACTGATGTCCTGGAAAGACTTCCTAGAACTTAGATAAAACACTGATCAAACCGTACTCCTACAAAAATATTCTGAAATTCTCAAAAGGTAATTTAAAGTTAATATATTGCATTATATGATATTATGGTCTGAAATATCACCTTCATAAACTACGATTAACTGCTAATTCGATATGTAGATTATGCATGGAGGATGAGGAAACTACTATGCTGTTTTTGTGACTGTCCAGCTTTAACAACTCACAGATTTAATTTGTATCATATGGAATTTTTGTCATCGGAACAGATTAAGAGGTCTTCTTTAAATTTAGTTCTGGTCTTTATTCACAAAGCTTTAAAGAGCTTTGTATAATCAATAGTGAAATTGGTACAATAGAACTATTCTGGGCGTAGTACCGGTTGTTGGACAATTTCACGTTAATATATTTAAAAATAATATAATAACAAAGCAGAATGGTAGGTCTCTCATTCTGTTTCAGTCTAAAATTATTATCAAAGAGGTTTAGCCAACAAATTCACATGGTTTTCGAGATTTGAAACATATTTCTGCCTTATTCTTTCGTACTCGAATTTAACCATCGGAACTTCCAAATTAAAATGGAAGTTTCCGTTTGTAATATACGAGGCTGTACCAGTTATCGTTCTTAAAATCTCACCTTGAGCTCTTTGCAGGATTTATACATTTGACGGACTGGTATTGCTTTATAGGTGCAAGTCATACATCCAGATTGGTTTAATGATTTGGCTGTACAACAAGTCTTTATGCTCTATAAGGGAAGGGAAACTGATGTTCAATTAGCCAACGAAGGCTTGTAACCTTCTTGAGTTTCATTTGAATGCTTTTATCTTGTGCTTTCCGATAAGAAGTCCAATTAAATAAAGTAGGGTATAATGTCGGGAAATTTGGCAACCCTTTTAAAAAATATTCAATGAACTGAATACTTGGACTAAGCATACAGTTGTTTTAATGATTGTTAAATTTTCAGCATTCGTGGTATTTGGAAATATCTATTACTTCAATTTTTGCATATATAACTTTTAGGCTCACAGTTTGTAAATTATATACAAACAAGAAACCAATAAATGCTTCTGAACACTACTGATGATGAATACTTGTCGATATCTGAAACATGTATATGGTCACCTCAAGGATTCATTCGATTAAAAAGTATTAGTGTACTTAAAATTTTTCTTATATTTATTTCATTATTGTATAAAATTCTCACTTAAGTTAGACAATGATTCATACATTCACTTAATATTTCACACTACTATATACGCTTCTACTTAAATAACGCAAAAAATTTTTGCTCTTAAGTAGTAAGTATCCACTCAACAGATTAAATTCCAAATGAATATTTAAAATCCATAAAGTCAATATTTTTGTTTACCCATGCAATCTCTAAAATAACTAAAACGTTATCCAGATAATACAAAATACTTTAAAGTGAAATAAGAAGAAGGAGAAGACTTCAAGTAAACTGTCACTCAAAGTTGTAGAAATGGGCAGACAAGGCGGCGGACACATGGACACATAGACACACGGACATATAGACACACAGACAGAGAGACAGACGGAGCCAGAGCCGGAGACAGAGACAGAGACAGAAACAGAAATAGAAACAGAGACACGGACTTATTGATGACATACCTGATAAAAAAGTTTTGTTACACCGAAAAGTTATTGCCAACTGTAAATTTTTGCTCGAAAATAATATCTTACCTGTGCACACAAGTAATGTTTTGGTCATAAGCTAGCGAGCCAAAAATCGACTTTAAGTTCAAACATAAATAAACGTGGAAGCGGCCAAACTTTAACAATAGCAGCAGAAATTCTACCGCCAGTTTGTTGTCATTTAAATGAAACTTAAAGCGATAAGAGGCATCCTTTTAGCACAATAAAGTTGCAGGACATTTTGTTTGGCAGAAGATGTTTTTCGTTAGATAAATTGTTACACTTTATTTATATCGTTTTCTGTACACAATAAAACTTAAGTTGGTTAAATTTTAAACTTGAACTTTTGGACTTAAAAGTTTATATTTTTCTCCATTAAAGCAATATAAATTCGCCTAAATAAGTCCTAAATAAAAAAAGCACAAATATAAAAAAGACTCCAATAAATGAAAATCTCATATAAGAAAAAATTTAATAAATTTGAATTCTTTTCAATTAAAAATAAAAAAATAAAAATGTTAAAAAATATAGCAAGAATAAACAAAAAAAAATAAATAAATTACGAACACAAATCATCAAATCACGTTCACCGGAAACTGTACAGGAAGCCAACAATTTGTATATGTCCGACAATTTTTTGCAATCTTCATAGATTTTTCCCTATGACAATAAAATAAATCAAAATCGGTATAAAACAACAGCAATTTCCGTAGGAAAGACATGAAATATGCTGCAACAAATCGTATCTAAACACTTATGAAAAAGCAAATAAAAAATATTCGCAAAATAATAATAAAATAATAAAAAATATCGAACCGAGAAATATCCAGCAAAAACAAAAATGGCAATAAAATATAACCAACAACATTGACTGCAATTCAAAGGATAATAAAACGAATGAACTGGAAGGAAAGTCCTGGCCATAAAAACAGAAAACAATCTGCCACAAAACAATCTTAATTCATATACGTTTGTCGTAGTACGCACAACTTCAATTGCTGGAAAATATAATTCAACAACTTTTTTTTTTTGCATAATCTTGATATATGTATTATTGTTTATATATATTTATATTTGAATAGAAAATGAACGCCAGCATCTATTATTCATAATATCTTCCAATAATTTCAGACATGTAATCAGTTTTAGTTAATTGATTTGGGTTATTGAGAAAACTTCGATAAAAATTTTAATTTAATTTCAAATTGAATATAAATCCCTTTTCTTTGAGTTTAGTTTATTGAAGCCTTTAAGAAAAAACTAGAAAAATTAAAAATAAATAACAAATTCGAGATTATTGACCAGCCACTGAATAATCACTTCTCGAAGTTTTTTACTGCAGATACTTCAGAGAAAAGAGAAACTGCATGACATGTATTTGAAGAGTGCCCGGCACTGATGTGCAAGCGTAAGAAAAACCTATGGGGGTATTTTATGGATCAAAAGAATACAAGACTGGGAAAGATAGTCTTTCTTTAAAGAAATCAGACTTGGTAAAAAAACTCTAATCCAACTAAGGGGCACAAGAGATGTCTTAGGCCGCAGTGCACTACTCCTTTTCAAAATAACAATAATAATAACAAATCAAAAATATAAAAATAAAAATATAATTAATATATTCAATTATTCTACAGCTAAACACAGCAAGTGAATTTGTCAATAAAACTTTCAAAGCCAATCAGCAAAACTCTAGAAAAATGTGCAAACATTAAAGTCAAGTACGACTTTTGGGTCAATTGGTTAAGGAGCTCTGACTCTGAGGTTCAAGTTTGGCAGGGCAAGAGTTTGATTTCTGGTACTTGCAGTCTCAAAAAATTATTTACAAATAATTAAATACAAAAATTATTTCTAAGACCTGAATAGTGTTTAAAATAATATCGGCTGTGAATGATGTGTAATAGCAAGCGACGTCGCCCCAAGAATGATGTGTAATCATTCTTCGTTGTTTATTACAATACAGTATAATACAGTAAACAAAGATTAATATCGTAATTGTATTTTATTGCAGTAATCATAAAAAAGCATCAAAACATAATCGATATTTCAAATAATGCTTGGAATAGTAAATATGTGGAAAGTTACATCTTTTGATTTTGACCACTGATTAATTCAATCAGTGTTTTTTTTAGATGTGCTAGGACCTGGTAGATCGTCCATCTGTGCGTTGATTTCATCAACAGACATATACTGCATTTGTTCTTGAACAGGAAAAGGTTGTTCATCAATCACAGTTCCAGCAAAAAGTTCCACCAATGTATTTACTTCACTGCAAGCAGCTAAGCCATTATACATTCGATTAGACGCATGCATTGAACAGGAAGGTCCCATTGCTCCAGCGACTTCGCCATCAGCAACTAACATCTTATCTTTATCCTCAGTCAAGGGTGCTGAGACATGAATAGCTTCATTTATAGGTTTTCCATCATAAGTTTCAATTAAGGGACCATTGCGTTCTAAACACTTGTTAACAAACTTCTCAATCTCTGCATTCAAGAGATCCTCATCTTGTTCATATAGTGAACGTGCTTCATCCATTTTTCTTTTAAAGGAGCAAATCTATAAAGTAATTGTTAAAGCTTTTAAAACAAAAATTGTCTTAAAAATGTTACCAAATTTAGTGGCAACCTGCGCTGAATAATATTTTTGTTAACTAAAATTTTTTGTAACGATTTTTTAATGTTCTCAGAAAAAAATTATTTATAACTGAAACAAATTTAGTTTTTTTTTTAATTTTAACCAGATATTTAATAATTTGTATAGCCTACTTGGTTTTACTTGAATCTGTCAAAATAAAACATTATTTTGTATTTTTTGATTTTTATGTTTTTCTCTTTTGAAATAATTAACTATAGTTTTTTTTTAGAATTGGTTGAGAATCCAGTCGATATCACGCAAAACAACCAGAGAAACCTAGGAAACAAAAGCTGGACATTAAAATGCAAGAGTTATCTTGGATCTTTCGCTTAATGCGTTAATGCAACGCTTACATTCTTGCTTTAATCTAGATTAAATGCAGATTGCTGATACAGCTCTAATAGCTGTCTGACTGTCAGTAAGAATATACACGTTCTTTTTTAAGGAAAGTTCACGTTCAAAGTAAGAATAAATGTATTGTTTCATGTTTCTTGGTACATAGAAAAAATTCTGACTTCATTGCCCTTATTCTTCTTATACACGTCGGCGTAGATCACTATCTTTCCTAGCGTTGTGAGTATCCCAGCCTCCCATTCCCAGCTTGAAGAAGTTCGGATGGCAAAATTTTAATTGAAGTATAAGCAAGTGCTTAATCCGATTCACTATTTCTATTAATTGGATAGATTGATGGAGTGTTTACATAACCGAGCGATACATTGCTTAGGTATTTATTGATAATATGAAAATTATTTCTTTCTTATTGTAATAATTTGATTTTAAAATAAAAGTAATGAATTTAATATAAAAATAATTTTTATTATATTACATTTGTTACTATATGTAATAATATTATAGTGCAAATATCTATTCACAAAAATTAAGAAAATTTTTGTACGATGATTAATTACGACTTGGACGTAGATTATAAAGACAAGACTGCATCGATTCCATATTTAGCGATGATGCTCCATTCTGTGATGAAATTACTATGAAACGCTTGTAAAATGATTTTAATTGTGGCCGTAGTTCACTGTTGTTGTCCCAAAATCAGTTGTTCTACCAGAAATCATTGATATTGTGCAAGAACTGACAATGAAAGATCGTGTTGCGACATACTGTGAGACTGAGGGAACCATAGGTATTAGTTCCACCAGCATACAAGTATATATATTATTGCATGATCATTTAGCCGTAAAAAAGGTTTGTTCTCGTTGAATTCCATAACTCATCATTTCATAAAATATCAAAAAGATACGCCTGCCTAGTGGTGCATCGTACGAACAAATGTTCAAGAAGTACGAGTACAATGGCGTTGCTTCAAAAGATGCATATAAATATTAGATTGTAACAGATGACGAATTATGGATATATGTGTAAGACCCGGAACGTAAGCAGTAATCGACTGTACGAGTATGGGTGTTTCAATATGAACCAAATCCAACAAAATTTGTTCGCGCTCGAAGCACTTTGAAATAAATGGTCTCTTGTTTTTTCGGAAAAACTGGTTGTGTGACAATTATATACATACCATTCCAGGAACGTAAAATGTTTAATTTCGAATGGTATGTAACCATTCAGTGAGATACAGAAATCAAACAAGCGCCATCGGATCATTCTCCATCTCCACCAAGACAATACGAGTGCTCACACATCTACACTTCTCGTCTAACACCTAACTATTTGAATATTCAAAAAATGATACATCGAATTGATGGGACATCCGCAATGATTTTTTTTTATTCCCGAATATCAAGAATACTTGTAAATTGCGTGGATAACAATTTTTGTTGTTGTCAGCCGAAGCAAGGGCGAAGTCGTTGTTGCATTAAACACCATGTTATGGAGTTTGGAGTTGTCTGGAGAAGATTGAAAAAAATGCTTTGACAAGTTTTTTGAACGCATGCAAAAGTGTGAGAGGATTTATCATAAAGGAGAATACTTCGAGAAACAATAAAGTAATTATCAACGATAAGTTAGTTAGTTAATTTATTCATAATTAGGGTCAATATGTAAGTAGTGCCCCTTGTACAGATAGATAGATCAAGGAAAAATTTTTTTTATTTGAAAATTATTTTTATAATGAATAAAGTTTAATTATTCAATTACTTATGAATTTAATTTTTCAAAATTAAAAGGTGAATTTTTTTTTATTTGAAAATTATTTCTGTAATTTTACACTAACAATAAAATAATTAATTAAGTTTCGCTCGATATTAATTATTCAATCACTTATGAATTTAATTTTTCAAAATTAATATTAAAGTTAAAAATTAAAATGTTCATGTTTTTTTTTATTGAAATCGATACTAAATCAGCTGTAAATACTGCACATCACTCCGTAGACATATACACACCTGTAATCCATCAATTACAATCACTGGCATGGGAAGTGAATTATCTCATAAGGGATACTATAATCTTTTTTATTTTTAAATAATACTTCGTACAAACTTCTGGAATATAGGGAGGAGTTTAGTACTACCCCATGTATTTCGATTTACTATGTTCATGGGCGAAACGTTAATTTCTATTACTACCTGACGTTGTATTCAAAACAAACAGTATTCAAAACAGCAACCAGAGATATGCATTGCATTGAAATTTTTGTTATACTATCCTACTATAACTCTCACCCTTAAAGAATCTATTCTACTTCAATAAATTCTCTTCCATATCACGAAAAACTTTTAACTATGAATGTAATATTAAAACAAAATCCAATTTTAATTAAATTGAACTAAGTTAGGTTGAGTTTGAGGGTGAATCTGTATCTCAGCCTCCACATAGACCGCAGGTTGCTTTACTGTTCGTATTATAGGATTATATTAAATTTTCTTAAATATTTATTAAATTTCGATAAGTTTAATAGAATTTCCATTAAATTTAAGATAGCATTAAAAAACGATTATGGAAGAAAAGTGATTTCTTGAAAAAATTTAAGATATAAGACTCGTTCAAAACTTAATATTTTATTTCATATTTCGTTTGTATTTTATTTCGAAAACTTACAGCTATTGCAGCTATTAATATCAAATTAAAACAGTGAAACTGATATACAAAGCAAAAAGCTTAATCCTTGCTAGATTTGAAAAATATATTTAAATTGAAATATCAATAATATTTTAGTCTTTCACCTTTGAACTGTCACGTCAAATCATAGCGAATTCACTAGTTTCGGCAACAAATATGAGACATGTTTGGAATTTCAAATAAATTAAGCTTAAATTCAATAAATCTAAATGTGAATAAAACCAGTAACAAAATGAAAAATTTGAATAAAGCCATTTTTTGTACAGTAACACGTTTGGAATAATTTAAAGGACTTTCCATAACTCAAAAGTAGAAAATACAAAATATGCACACAAAATAATAATAATAAAAATAAATATAAAATATTCTAAATATAAAAATAATGAAATAGGCAAAATAGAATAGAAGAAAAAAAATGGAGAAAACTTGAAATGAAATGAAAACAAACAAAAAGTCAACACCAAACAAATAGGAAGAAATTTACGAAGGACTTGTTAAACTACAAATTAAATTACCGCCTGAAGGTGCGCAATAATAATATTTAACTAGCAAATTGAAGCAAACCTCAAGGCGTAAGCAACCTCATGCACACACACGTGACTAAACACAAGCTGGTAAAAAGACATGAAAGCATTTTGTTTGGGTCGTGGAAATTATATCACACAATCGTGAAAACTCACCGAGAATAACTGAGACAAACTGAGAATAACTGTCAACGGTATACCAGACTATTATTGATATAACTACGAATGCAGATAAAGATACAAACACTTTCAACCAAATGCACACACTTACACAAACCCCTATTGCGGTAGTGTTTACTACTAATGCCAAAAAATACAAACAACGTACAAAATGAGAACTTGCACCTGTTCTCCCCATAAATATTTAATTTACTGATACGCTTACAACTATAAAATTATCTACCCAATCTACCTATCAGCTGTGCTCGTGGCTGCATCCATTCTCCGTGTGACGTATCCTTTCGTCACATAAAGAGGAAATTAGTTAAAGTAGTTAAATTTGGACTTTAAATTTCAATGCCCAATGCAAAATTTTGCAAATAATAATGAAAAATAATGTATTAAAACAAAAGTTATATAGATATATAGGGGTGTATAGGGGCTTAACATATCTAGAAAAAATAGTTATTGTTTTTTTTTGGCAAAAAGAAAATAATGGGGAGACAATATGATTCGGCTGCACTGTGTCTAAAATCAATCAAATCGAAGCGATATCATTAAAACAGTTCTATGACCATTTATCAGTTCTTTCTACAGTTCGTAAATATATACTGGATCGCTTTTAGTTTTAATGGAACATATTATATGACAAAAATTAGTTAATAAAACTAGTTCTCCATAATTACAACATCTTCAAAACAAAGCTGTGATATGACTTCTAATATCTTGTATTAGAAACACGTCTATAACGTGTTTGTAAAAGTATTTAAGACACAATCTAGATTTTCCTGGCAGACCCATTTGACAACACGTTTTGGTCGAAACAACTTTGCTCAGCAACTTTTTCGAACACGCTATATGCTCTCGGTGGCTCTCAAGTGTGGCAAAAAACAGCTGGCTTTGCTGGCCTATAGTTGCTTAAAAATGTACGAAAAACAACTACACTACTTTCTCTATCTAAGCACCTAGTTACACCTAGTACCGAGATAAAGTGTTTAGTCACTTAAGAAAAAAGTGTTACCAACGCAATAAACGAACTATTGTGAAACTTCATTGGAAATTTCAACGAAATATTCCAGTCATATGTCAAAAGAAAGTATATATATGTGTTACATATAGCAAAGCCTCAAATAATAAGGTATTATAATAAGCAATTACAGATAGCTAAAAACCTGGCTTTAAGAAAACTGTTTAAGATTCCATGGTACATTAGATCAACAGACATACATAGAGATCTTAGGATTGACTCAGTGAAAAAATATATCAGAGACAGAGCTCTAAAATTATTCACTAAAGTTGATACGCTAATTAACCCCACCCTAACAATCCTCAAGTCCACTT